ACATATTCCTCTGTGAAACACAAAGAGAAAATTCATTGTCGAAAATTAGTAACTTAAACAGTAAATGCTGTGTTTTCACCTTGTTTTCTGTAAACCAAAGGAGTGGAGTGGACTGAACTAAACACTATCATACTACATGTACTGAAATTGAAAGGAGGTCACTACATCATTTACATGAAACTAGGGCTGCACAAGTATTACTACGATAATCAAGATTTCGAAAGCACAAATCACATGGGAAGACATATGTGTCGAAATGAGGGCGAGATGCATCACTTGCACCGAATGTTATGACGATTAAGTGCTCATGGCTACAGTATGCATTAACTGCTTTTAAAGTGTTTGAAGTGCAATATTTCATTTATTTGTACATGGTAAAATTAAATGATGCCAAGTTACAGCAAGTATGTCGGGGTGTTTGATGGGGGGTGCAATTATCATCAAATAGGCCTTCATACGTGCAAAATGTTTGACTTACTTATATATCTTCTCAAGACGTTTTCTATTTGTTTCTGTTGAAAGCGTCCCTTTATTACAAGCTGGTTATTTCCATCTATGGATCCACTAGAAGCAGGAAGACATTGCTTGCGTTACAGGAGAAATCACCATTTCACATTTGACAGAATTCTGGAAATGCAATTAGAAGCTCACCACGTTCCTAACTCAGCTAACAGGAACGCCAAAAGATGTTTGGGCTGTCGATGCAACCTGAAGATGAAAATGCAAACATGCAAGTTTAATAGATAAAATTACACCTATAAACTAGAATCACTGGTTTGGTTATATTCACATATGGGTCAATGACAAGTAGAAGTGTCCATGTTAAAGAAAAGGAATTTATTTATTTCACACCCGCATGTGAGTGTATACACCTTAATCATTTTCTAAAAGGTGTATATATATGATGAGTTCATTTGCAAAAACGGATAACTCCGTTTTTAACCATTTTCATTTTCAAAAATCATGTTTTTTCATTGTGCATTCCAATTAATCTCAATCAAACTGCATATTTTATTTTTTTATATTTATTATTAATTTAAAAATATTCTTCAATAATAATAAATACAAATTACAATCTGTATTAACCATGTCTTGTTGTAAAAAGCTATTTTAAAATATTTCAAGAGACTTATCTATGTTACTTATCTATGCTTAATGAGGGTCTTTTATTATTTTTATTTCGTTTTTGCATTTTATTGCACTTGATTTTGATTTTGCAGACATATGTTTGTCAAATGTTAATTTTATCCTTTTAATAAGGATTTTCTTTGTGATATTAGAACAGTTGTGTCACTCTAAATTTAATTCAGTAATTAAAAAAATATGCTTGCATCATCATTGTATGTATGATTTTTCTGATTTTTTTATTTCAATGTTTTAATGTATTTTTGAATAAACTGGTAGGACCAATAACAAAAGCCTTGTAATTGACCCATGTACCATCTTTTGTATTATTTTATTTGGAAAAAAATAAAAAAAATAAAAACTGCAGACATGGACACTAAATGTTTATACTCACAGTTTACAGATGTCAGTGAAGTTGACAAAAGATGTTTTCTTGGTCCCAACTCGGACCACCTGAGGTGGCTTCATCACAAACTTCCTCTTCTCCCCTGCCACCATATCAGGGTTCTTCTCCCTCATGATGTTAAACACCCGGCTCAACAACTGTAAAGATGCAGATATGGAAATAATGACACTCCAAATCAAAGGAAAACTATGCCATTAGCGTGGGGTAGAAGTATATCAGATGTGTGAGGAATAGGGGTGTGCAATATATATCGTCTGCGATAATATCGTAATTGTTGTTTTAACGATGTGCGATTTGACATTATCGAGTATTTTGCAAAAACCCTTCAAAACATCCCTACAGAGCGCACGCATACATTACGTGAAGTCTAGACTAGTGCGTGTGCGCATTTAGTGTTTTCTTTCACTGCATGATTCAGTCTATTAAAATGCATTAAGAAAGATCACAAAATTCAAGATATGGGGGCAGAAAATGTACATATTTATATCATTTCATATAGTTAAAATCACTCGAAGAGTGCCGTTTTTTTTCTTCAAAAATAAGCATGATTACAAATGTGATACTGATTTTATACAACAGTTCAATAAACAATAAGTTAATATTAAGAGACTTACGTTTTAGACACCATATTGCTTGTTTTTGCTCTATTTCGCCAACAAAAATCATTCCGAATACAGCCACAGCGCCGTTTTGTGTCTCTGAGCAACATGATGGTGTTTCGTTCTTGAATGAATCAACCGTTTGCTCATCATATGAATAATCATCATACCTCATCGTAGGTGTAATCTCTCTCTGAACCAACCCATGCTGGGCCCGACTGTGAACTGAATGTAACGCCATCTGTGCTTTTATCATCCTCAATGACTACAGGGAAATATAGGTGAAGAATTCACACAATCTAATATTTAATCATCGCCAATAAAATCTTTCTCATATAGTATCTGGTATTACTGTAGCTGTTTCTGGAAAAAACATAAGATATAACTGAGCTGCATAATTAGACTAATTAAATGAAGCGTGTCTTCATACCATCATCCTTTTCCACAGTATCACTTTCCTCAAAAAACTCCACTTTTTTTGACTTCTTTTTTTTAGTTGGAAGCATCAGATCAAATTCATCGTCCTCCATCATTTCCTGCTGGTCTCCCTCAATTTTCAGCTCCTGGTCACCAATAAAATGAAAAGAGCCAACAGCCTTTAGAAGAACTATCCAATACAAGAAAATAAGCTCAATGGACGTCACGTTAGGAATCGTTATACCAGACAGCTAAAAAATACAATACCAGAAATGTAATAGACCCACTTTATATTAGGTGTCTAACTATGCACTTACGTAAAAAAAAAACAAGAAAAGAAAAGATAATTGTCGGGTACAATGTACTTAATGTTGCATTGCAAAACACTTCTGATGTGGGAAATGAATAAAGTTAGAGACAGGTTTGGCGGTATGGTTAGGTTTATGTGTGGGGCAACTACAGAAATTATTTACAGATATAAATTACATACAGGTATTTTTTAAAATACGTATAATGTAAAAACATGTATCTACAAAGTAAGTGCAATTTATCATGATTAATTTAAGTGTTAGTACATAGTAGTTAAAGTTATTAGTAGATAAACTATATAAAGTGGGTCCAATATCTTTAAATAATAATATTAATAATGATTAATAATGCAACACACTAAATTAAAGTTGGTATGAAACGGAAGTTGTGATCATCTTTTTTCGCTGTTGTGACGTATAAGTGAAATGCCTTCTTGAACAAGAAAATATGTTTTTGAAGATTACAAGGGCACATTAATTTTAAAAAAATGATGTGCATGGATAAATCATTCAAATGTTAGCACAGTGGTTAAAGATGAAGTGGGCCCAATGTAATCACACAGATATGGTCACATATGCCTGGTCACAGGCATTTCCGATAAGTGGTGAAAAGCATTTCATCATTCCCTGGCAATCTCCACATAAACAATTACCTTCATGCCCTCCTCAATGTCATTTTCAAACACCTTCTTCGGTTTCTTTTTCTTCTTTTTCTGGTTAAAGAAGTTCAGATCATCTAAATCATCCGAAGGCTCTGTGAAGATCAAACAGTGTCATAAACGGCCAAAAGTACAATCCTGAAACCGCACTGTACACAAACTCTACACGTGCAATGACATTTTCAAGTTTGCGATTTAAAAGCATTTGTTGAGAATCATTTGACTAAATCCGAGGCCCAGAGATAAAAGAGAAGAGCAAAACACTTCACTGATGCTCATACTTGCATCCTCTCACCCTTTTTCTTGACTTCATCATCTTCAGGGTCCAGTTCTCGCTCCTCTGCTGCTTCAGGGTCAGCTTCGTTCTGTTCAGTCTGCTGAGCCTCCTCTCCATCTCCATCCTCGTCGAGCTGGAAGGGCTTCTTCTTCTTCTTCTTCTTCTTTGTTGTGGTGGGGTCGAATAAAATCTGAGGACACATAACGCACCAGGTTCATTTGCTCAAACATGCCTCAATGTGCTGAAGGATACAATACGGAGCTCGACTCTTTTTACCGCTCAAGCAATGTTGAGTATTATTTACTTTAGTTTTTGTATTTTATACAATTAGAAACAATACGCAATGACATCAAAACGTGCAACCATACAGCACGACGTTAACTGCTCTCATAATCTATGCCAAAAGTCACAACATAACTGAATATTTCCACTCAGCTGTCAATAATAACAAAAGATACACATAGACCACCACAATACCTCGTCTTCTGACATGATGACTGAATCAAATATTGCTGTTTCTCGTCGTGTTAAGTCTCGTTGACACGGTTGACACTACTGTTCTCATCCACTGTCTTGCATCAGCTCAGGCGAGCTAAGCGCGCAAGCGTACTTCCGGCGACAAATGATTACATCGTTATGACGACAACATTACGCGACTTTCCGTGGTACTGCTGATGATTTCAATCGATTACAAGATTTATGTTCAGTTTTACATTTATAGTAATAATAATTATTGTTGTTGTTTGTTTTGTAGCTTCTTCCAGACATATATGTAGAACACCACGAATCGAAGCGAATTGTTAATCAAATAAGCAAAATTTTTTTCAGAAGCAAACAGCCATGTGCTTTATTGAAACTCATGAATCCACCCAAACCCCTTACCAACATGAATGTAAAATAAAGAACATCAAAAGGAACTTGGCAACGAATACACGGGCAAGAAGAAAAGAGTGAAATGAGCAACTAGATGCAGTACAAACACCATGCCCCACTCTTCTTATAATTTTCATCAGTCAGCCATGAGGCATTTCAGTCATTTAAGAGACATGCCACTCAAGTTGCATCAGCATGCCATTCATTAAGGCACATAACACAGCAGACACGTCTTTATATGCTTTTGAGTGCAAGAGCAGGACAGAAGTTACTGTTTTATATATAATTTTAACAAGAACTAAGGTGTATACTACAGAAAGACTAACAACACCAGAGAAAAGGAATCCAGGTTTAATGATCTCTCAAATAAAAGCCATCTGATTTTTTTTAAACATACAAATGTACACGTATGCCTCAACCTGAATAGATACAGCATTTTTGCATCTCAAAAAAGTATATGCTTCCATACGAAGAAAAAAAAAAGTGGTAGTTTTTGTATAATTACAACCATCTACTGTCAGATAAACCCTCAGCACATCAACAAATCAGGCCTGAAAAGAGCACAATAGGAAAGATCTGTTATTAAATAGGTCATTTTCTGCAACTATTTGGATGCAGCACCAAACAAAACATGATGGGCAGTCAGATTTATTTATATATATATATATATATATATAAAATGGAGCTAATGTTAGTCAATTCAATTTGTTATTTGTCACCAAACCATAATATGTCACTGTCAACAAACTGTAAAAAAGCTTATGCTGTTGGAAGTGCTTGAATAACATTAATTTAACAGAACACATTGAGATCAAAGATAGAAGCAAACAACAGTACCAAATATATTTAATATATCAGATGAGAGAGCGTGTTGACCATGTATATGAAAATTGTGTATTGGCAAACATGCTTATCTCCATGACAAAACAAAACAACCAGTTTCTGAATAGTAGAGAGGTCAAAAAACACTTCTATCAAAAGAGGGAAAATTAGAAACACCAATGCATTACCTAAATAACCATAGCCAAACATTTAAGGGTCACTTCATATATTATGTCATCAGATTTTATTGTCAGATTAACTTGCTTCATATCCATTTTCGTTGTAACTCTTGTTTTTTTCTGGGCTTGTTTTATCCACTCTGCAAGAGCTATGGTAAAATTTGTTTTGTAGTGTTAACCCTCTGAAGGTTCTCAGGTTTGCCTGCCCAGGCCAACCACGACGAGCAACGAGAGTCTGTCAGATTGGGTAAATTTACATGGCCCATGCTTTGAGTTCTTCCATGTCATCCTCATCCTCCTCTTCTCTCTTTTTTTGGGCTGGGGAAACACAAAGGCAAATAGTTATAAGGGTTTCCACAGGGGAAACTCAAGACGTCTTTCTACTTGTGTAATCCACTTTTCAAGTCCAATTTCACATGTATTGTCTCATATGTAAAATTTTGAAAGTAGTTTGTGAGATATAAAAAAAAAATTCTATTTTAGTATTATGTTGATATGTACTGAACAGCATGAAACGAACCAACAGGTTTCTTGGGTAATGGGTTTGAAGGCACACTGGGCAGAGGGACATCCTCTGTGCCACCAATTTCCAGCAGGTTCTTGTCCAGCTCCTCCTGTTCCAACTCCTCTAATTCAGCCAAGAGCTCATCCTAGAAAGGGAAAGAATCGCATTGTTCGGTCAACATCTGTAAAAACTGCATTTGAAGAGATACATCTATGTAAGATGTATTATCAAGCATTTCACCTTAATCAGAGAGTTAGATAGTACCTCTCTAAAAAATATAAGTCCAGTCAGGTAAATATTTCTATATTTCTTGCAGGATCAGTATCACAAGTTCTCTTAAAATAATGCAGAATCTTAAATAATTTTTATTTAAGTCATAATGCTTCTTTGTTTGATATTTTAAAATCCTAACAAGTTCTGTTGAGGAACTTTGAATACCACACTGAAAATATGGGATTTTTTAAAAAGGGGATTCAAATTCTTGAAAGCTCCTCAGTGTGTATCAAACATCACACAAGTTCGCTCCCTTTGTCTCAACTCACCTCATCATAGTCTTCTCCAAAACCTACAGGCCTCGAAATGGCATCAGAAATCTCCTGTGCCAACTCCTGCTGCTCTGTGATGTCCTGCATGAGGTCATCCACTTTGTCTATATCCCTGACAACAATCAATAATATTAAATCAATATATATTTTTGCACATCACTAACTGCATTCTGTGATACAGATTCAATAGGAAATTTTACTCGGGCATCTTACATGTTTTCATGCGCTGTCTTCATGGCCTTGGCTGCAAAGCCCATGTTTTTAAGCACTTCTGTGTTTGTATTAGCATTCTCCAATGCTTCTCGCTGGAACTCAATAGTGGAGAGAGTGCCATCTATCTGAGCCAGCTGCTTCTCATATCGCTTCTTTCTTTTCAGGGCCTGTAAAGCAGCTAAAAAAAGGGATAACAAACATGCACAAAATCAGTTTCACATACATATACATATATATATATACACACATTATACTCACACTATAACTTAACTTTTTTTTTAAGCTAATCAACAAAGTTAACATTCAAGATTAAGATTGAACCATACACAAACAAGAGATTCCCAGCATGTGGGATGTTTCGTTATGGTAAACAATGCACTCGATTAAGTTCCCTGTCAATGGCTGTTATTTCACAACACACCACATGACACTAATCAGACGTAACTAAGTGATATGAAACGCAATCCTTTATTTAGCCCAACTCTTGAATTTAGTTCCTTGACAGCAAGGATTTTAATTTTCGTATCCTACCTGGCATGAGTGTTATATTAATAAACTGACTTCATAGTTTCGATTATCAGTGAGTTTAAGGCAAGTGTCGCATGGGCGTAGCTACCTAACTAACATCACGACGACAGGTGGGGCGAGAGAAGAGAGAAGCTTTCTTTTAAAAGTTATTTAAGACACCTATGGTCCTTATCACATGAAGGCTCGGTTTTAAATACATACCTCGTTTGTTTTTCGTGCCGTTTTTCTTTGCTGTCAATAGTTCCGCGTCAATCTTTTGCTCTAAGTACTCTTGTTTCTTGGTTAACATCTCTTCTGTCTCACGGAGTTTCTGGATCGCTTCTTGTGGGCTTGGGCCTTTGCCTCCTTTCCCCCCACCGCCAAACCATTTGCCGAATACGGACATATTGTTTTGTATTTTGCGAAACTAAAAAATCCCTCCGAGTCGGTTTGTTTCTAGACACTACTGATAATAAGCTCAGTCGCTGTTCCGTGTTCAGCTGTTGATTGTCTTACTTCCGCCTTCAGGCCCGCTGACGTCATGGGACGCGTCACGGTCATGCCACCAATCAACGCCGCGGCTGCTGAGCAGTGAAACTACAACTCATGACCAAACTAATGATTTAACACTTTTGTTTGATTATTTAGGCCACCCTTTTTAAACTCCAGATCTAGTTCGCGTTTTCTTTAGTGCCATAGAAAATGATTTAAGGAAACATTTGGTTTCACAAAAAAGAGGCCTTGGCCAAATTTAGGTCATGATCTAGGAGTTAATGAAGAATGAAGATATTCATGTTTAAGTGCAACTATTTAATAGAAAGCATATTTAAATATTGAAATAAATAAATAAAAAAATCAAAATACAGCAAACAAGAATATTCAGCTAACTGCAGTTCCACAGTTCATTTCTATGATTTATGGCATTCGCTTATCATAATCATTCATTGATGTGTATGAATTTGTTATACTGAAATTATCTATAGACATCTTTTTAATAAATTTCATGTTGTAATGTTTGCCAGAGAGTATCATGGACCTTTGTAAGATTGTTCAGTACCACTGTGTCTGAGTGAATATGCAAGAGGTACGATCTCTGAATTTTTGTGTGGGTACAAGACTGTATTTAGAGAACAGGATGGAAGATGGGAGGATGGGAGGATGGGAGGATGGGGGGGGGTGCTTTGTTCCAGATCAGTATTACAAGAGTGCCACACTTTCAAAGTGTGTGCGAGACCTCATTCATTTTCAGTAACCTACATATTCTGCTGGTAAAACTTGTACAGGCCATTATTTCATGTTTTTTTTCTTTTACTTTTAGTATCATTTTTGTATTTCAATAAATAAATAAATAAGATGAAAGATTAATTTGCCTTTTTCTTGACTTTTTGGGAAAAAAGAAGCGAGAAATACTGAAATTTTACAGTTTGTTACTCTATCCTCCTGAGAACCAGAAATAAAAAGCTTTGTGAATTTTGTATTTTTTCATGTCATTACATTGTTTAGAGCATAAGAAAAAATGGTAAAATAACATTTTTGAAAAATTATATTTTATTTATATATGTTATGCTATGTCCTCTGTAGAGGACACCAGGACTCAGTTTTTCTAAAAAATAAAATGACAAGAGTAGACATGAAAAGGCAAAAACAATGGGAATTTTTTT